TGTTTTGTTGTTATGCCCTCTTTTATCTCAATCTTCATTTTATTATTTACTTTTTTATTTTTATCCTTTTAATTAAGGGCAAAATAAATTAAAAATAGCAGGATATATTATAGTAACCCACTTTGATTTTCTATTAACTTGATTTGAAGCCGTGTATTGCTCTCACCATCTTGTTTTGACTGATTTCACTTTATTCTGTTTTGCTTGATAGTACCAGGTTTGAAAGTTTAGGCAACAGCTGTGAAGATAGTGGGATTCATTATGACGCCCATTCTGGTTGACTATTATCTACTTTTGAAGACCTGTAATGTCTCCAATGTTTTGGTTTTGTTGGTTTCGTTCTTTACTGTTTTGTTCAATTTTATTATAACTGATGATATAGGCGATTCTATTGCAGACAGTGGGAGGCATTATGGTAACCATTGTTGATCACCTTGTATTATGTTTTTGCATTATCTATTATGTCCACCCTTTTGATTTAACTGACTCTGTTCTGTTATGTCACATTTGGTTTTACTCTCTTCCAAAAAAAGTAATAAGAACTGTGGGAGCAATAAAACCCCAAATGTGTAATAGTCATCGTAGAGAGGAAAAGAAACTGCTCTAAAGGATATAACTGCATGTATATTTAAGTGTATAAGATAGACAATGATATTACTGAGTTTTGTTGGATCACTGAACAGAACTGTTTGCAGTCTCACTGTTTGAATGTCCACTTTATATGCTTTAATTTTGTAACTTGAACAAATATTTCTAAGATGACAATATGTAATCCATTAACTAGTGATTTCCTACTGTTTATTTTTTTTCTGAAATTCTGTATAACTTGTACCCTTTTTCTGCTTTTTTTTCTTTTTCTCCTTAAATAAAATTTTTAAAAAATGATAAGATGTTACATACTAAAAATAAAAGTTAAATAAAAACCTAGGAAACACTTCTAAAAATCTAGAGATGTACCAAAGAATGGCTTAAGTTTCTTAAACTTCTTTTTAAGACTTTGACATTTTTTAAGAAATAAGCACAGGTAATATTTAATTTCATCATTGGTACAACTTTCCAGTACAGATAATTATTTCTGCAGAAAGCTATGTTTATAAAACAACCAAAAATACATGCCAGGAAGATGAAGGACCAACATGAAGCCAGTGGCAATGTCTAGGGTTAACTGATCATCACTTTTCCGCATGGCCGCAGCCAGCTCTCGCGTCCTGCCAGTATCCACCATGGAAAAGCACTCCTGGAGGCAGGGATCTCAGGCACATCCTGCCAGGCTCTCATCTGCACATGGCTCTCAAACAGCTGTCTGCCTGCACCCACTTGATAGGTATGACAAACACATCAGAAATGAGTCAGCGGATGAGACCTATATTATACTCAACTAAATAGATGCGATTAACTGATGGCTTCATGACCACTACAAAAACCTTATTGAAAAAATTACTTTGATTCTTTATACCAGAAAACATTGACTAACCAATCTTTGCATTTTCAACCAATCGTATTGCTATCATTTAAGTGTAGGTGGAAGACAAATGTTGCCTAGTTTTCTTGTTCTCATTTTTCTTATTCTCTTAGTCAGGATGTGTGTGTAAAATGGAGTGGTTGGAAATGCTTAATTTGTTGGAGGGTAATAACCTAAATAAATATAGTATGTTGGCTCTTCTTTTAATGATGGTAAAACATTTTTCAATATTTCCTGTTTGCTGCTAGTGGTATTAATAAATCTTCTGATACATATAATTGTTCAAATCTCAATAGTTTAACCCAATGGAAGTTTATTTCTCATTCACATAAATTCAGTCAGCAATGTGGCCCAGACTGTTAGAGAATCTGCCAGCAGCAGTGAGAGAAGAAAAGAGAGAATGGACGATTGGATAGGCAACTTCGGGGAGTGACATAATGTACAGCACATCCCATAATGAGCATCTAAGCTTGTGGCCTTCTCAAGCTTTGGGGGTCACAGAGGAGAAAAAGACTGGCAGATGTAGATCCCGATTTTACACCATGGAAAAGGAATGCAAATTTTTTGGCAAAAGAACAAGTAGACACTTCTACAAGTGCTAGATCCTGAGAAAGCATATACTAGGAAGGGCAACACTCGACAGGTCTTTTTAAATAAATGTTTTAAGGACAACACACAAAGTAAATTTCAGAAAAGTATTAAATTAATATCTTTTTTTGAACATCTTCAATGTACAAGTTCCTCGAGGCACCCCCCTGGAACAGTTGAGGGGATCCAGAAAAATGATCTCTCCCTGAAGCAAGGCAAGGAAATAAATTTTGTGTGCATTACAAGACATCCATTTGGGGTAACTTAAAATCTCATTTTATTTATACAAAAAAGCAAGGAAAACATTTGGAAAGAAAATATTTATTTTCTGATTAAGCATTTTCCCTGTAGAAAAATTGAAAAATACAACAAGGTACAAAGAAAAACAAACTTTAAATGTACCACATAAAGTTAACCACTGTGAACATTTTTCTTTACAATATTTCATAATATATGTGCTCATTTGAAAAGTTATTTTATGAGATGAATTTCAAAGCACCAATTCAAAACATCGGTTGACCTAAATTCACTTTATTTGTAATCATGAAGAAATCTGAGAGAGAATGCCAAAATAAATTGTTTTTCTTAGCTGGTATCTGAAACAAGATTCCTGATACTCCACTAAGAGAGAAAAGAGGAGAGCAGAAGGAAGGGGAGAGGAAGGCAAGAAGAGAGGAAATCGGAGGAGAGAGAGGGAGGGCAGTTATACCCGCCTCCTTAAACACCTAGCAAATACAAGAATACGTGCTGCTGCAAAAGCCACCAGCACCAAACTACAGGGAAATCCCTTGCATTTACCCATCACACGGCACGCACAAGGACCACCAGAATATGCTCTGGAGGGCTGGTTCACAGGGCCGGGGAATATTAGGAGAACTTTTCTACCCAAAGGTCATTGAGCAGGAGTTAGAGCGAAACAGGAAGACTTCTATTCTGGAATGTTAAAGAAGCATTCCAAACACTAGATGGGAGGACCCAGGAGCCTGGAAGCCCTTCCCCACCCAGGGAGCACAGGAACATGTGGCACATGTGGCCAAACACACATTCTTGCAGGAGGGACTCTGGAGTGCACCCTCTTTGAGTTGTTTGGGACTGCAGTCAGCCTTTCTTATTCATAGGTTCTATTTCCACGGACTTAACCAATATTGGATAGGAAATACTGGAAGGAAAAAATTCAGAAAGAGTCAAAAAGCAAAGCTTGAACTTTCTGCATCCCAAGCGCAAGTTTGATTCTGTGTGAATGAAAGAATGTGAAGTGTAGACCACTCTGCAGTAGCCTCCCAGCGTTCCACCGTGCTCTACTCTCCAGACAGCATGGTCATTCAAATAGTTTTGCCTTGATGCAGTTACACCTCTGGTGGTGCCACCTTTACTGACCTTTTTCTTGTCATTTCCTAAGCAATACTGTTCACAAGGCACAATTGTGTATGCACTGAACATGAAGAGACTTTTGCTTTTGTGATCATTCCTTAAACAATACAGTTTAACAACTATTTATATGGCAATGTGTGAGGTCAGTCGCCTAGAGATGAGCTGAAGTACACAGAAAGGTGTGATCAAGTTGTATGTAAATATTACACCATCTTTCATAGAGACTTGAGTATCTATGGAATTTTGTACCCTCGGGAGGCTGGGCACCAAGCTCCTGTGGATACTGAGGAACAACCAGAAACATTTTCTGGTAAAACTAGCCCCACAAGAAGACCTGGTGAGCTCGGTGGTCAGAAACAGGCTTCCCTAACTCTGGGAAGACAGCTGGGACTCACAGGAGCAGAGAGGAAGTGGAAAGCTGAAGCTGAGAACAAGGCAGATAACGTCCAAAGTCGAGTAAAGTGCAGGAAGCAACAGAGAGCGTTTTTGTTTTGTTTTGTGTGTATGTGTGTGGCGGGGGTGACGGAGCTGTGAGGCTGCTGTGGAAACCAAAAACTCCTTATTTATTTGGCATCTCCTTTTCTTAATACGAGTAATACTCGTATTTCAGGTGTAGCAAAATGTTCCAGATTCATTTGTTTTTCCCAGTTTGAGACATGGAGACACAATTAATACTGTACGCAAGGAGTAGTTAAGGAAAAATTTCTTTGCCGTACCGTTAATTCTCAGTCGGGCAAAATCTTGACTGCCTTGACACTGGTGGAACTCTAACTTTGGAAACAGGAAGACACACGGTAAATTGTGTCACGATGTAGGGAAACACTAGTTAAGAGCTTTTTGACTTACTGACCACCGTGGTTATAGATTATTGGTCACTATCCTTTGTCCATTCCTCTACCAATCCATTTGACTGCTTTGAAAACAAAATAAAGCGTTTTCAGTGTGGCTTGGAAATAAAAATGTGTCATAAACAATCGGTAGAGGTGCTTCACAGTGATTTCAGGGACCTGCGGCAAAGTGAGTAGGCAACCAGCCACACAAGCACCCAGCTGCTAAAATACTTCTCTGTGGACCTGAGTTGCGTTTCTAGAGAATATTTAACAGGGGGCGTTTTAACGCTTCCAAATGTCGAAACTAAAGAACAAATATTGACGCAAAGGGCACCTCAACTCTCCCCAAGAGTAAAATACATCCTTTATGAAAAGGAAAAACCATTTGGCCAAAACCCTCCAAAACCCCTGCATAACTGGCCCTTAGACAGCGGAGGGCTAACCTGGCACGGCCAGGTCTTGGCACTAGTGCACCAGGCGACATCACAGGCTCCCGCTAGCTATGCGAGACCAGGGTTTTCTCCAGGCCCACTCGAGCCTCCAGCCGGGAAGCTGGGCCGGAGGCCGCCAGCGGCTGGCACCAGCGCCGGGTAGGCGGCCGGCCCGGCCCGCAGCTCCTCGCGGCGGGGGAGTTGGGCCACCGTGCGCGGCGGCCCCCAGTGCGCGGCCCGAGGGACGCCCCCTGCGCGCGGCGCGTGAGTCCGGGCGTTGTGCAAGCGCCCGCGCCTCCCCTCGGCCTTTCACCCCGCGCGGTTACGAAAGCGCGACCCCCGCCCCGGAGCTATAAAGCGCGGGCCGGCCGGCGGGCGGGCGCTCGCCTCGCTGCTTCTCGCGCGCCCGGACGCGGACGCGGACGCGGCGGCCCGGCTAGCGCGTCTCCGTGGTGAGCGGCGGCGGGCGGGCCGGGGCGGCGGGCGGGCGGGCGGGGGCTCGGCGGCGGGCGCGGCCCGGCGCTCACGCTCTCCGCGGCGCTCTCCGCAGGGCGGACTCCCGGCGACATGCGGTGGGTGTGGGCGCTCGTGCTGCTGGCGGCCGCGGGCGGCGGGCGCGCGGAGCGCGACTGCAGGGTGAGCAGCTTCCGAGTCAAGGAGAACTTCGACAAGGCTCGGGTAGGTACCGCCCGGGCGGCCCAGGTGCCCGCCGGCCCTCGTTCCCGGAGGCCGGCCGGCCCCGGACGCCAAACCCCCGCTCTTAATCCTTCGCGCAGTTCGCCGGCACCTGGTACGCTATAGCCAAGAAGGACCCCGAGGGTCTCTTTCTGCAAGACAACATCGTCGCAGAGTTCTCGGTGGACGAGAAAGGCCACATGAGCGCCACGGCCCTTGGCCGAGTGCGGCTGCTGAGGTCAGTGGGCCAGAAGGCCGTGCCCTGTGTTCCCATCGCCCCGCACTGGCAGAGTGAACACTCTGGGGAGGGGGAGACCCAGGGTGAAATGGAGCTGGGAAGCACTTCTGCTTTGGCTCAGAATCTCTCGCCTTTTCCAGTAACTGGGAGGTGTGCGCAGACATGGTGGGCACCTTCACAGACACCGAAGACCCGGCCAAGTTCAAGATGAAGTACTGGGGCGTAGCCTCCTTCCTGCAGAAAGGAAGTAAGGAGTCAGCCAGCGGGACCTTTTCGAGGCTGGGAGGCGTTTTTTGGCCACATCACTGGGTTTCTTCTCCAGTGGCAACCTTGGGAGGAACAGCTGTGGGAAGGTCTGTAAGTGGCCAAAGCCCTCAGCCCAGCTAAAGTTAGGGTATTGGGAACAGGAGCAGCAACTCTCCCACCCCAATCCCATGACAAGAAACTTGGCCCAAACTCAGGAGGACCCATGGGCTTGCCAAGTGCCACTCTGCCATGCAGCTCCTGTGCCAGTAGCGTAAGCTGCTTCATACTTTTTTCTCTCCCCGCATCACCATGGGCTGAATCTGCATTTCTTCCACCTGTTTGGGCTGAATCCCTGAGACAGCGGCCTTGCATGGGTCCCCAGCAGCGGCTGCCACCTCCAAACCCCCATCCAGAGGTGGAGGGGGCATGTGCAGAGTGGCTTGTTACCAAGTGCCTGCCAGTACTGAGATTCTGAGCTGGGGTCCGTGTTCTGCGTGCCAGTGGCCTCTTCCCTGAGTACTGAAATTCAAGTCAGGGTGGGATTTGAAAACTCAGTACAACATCCTGAAACTTGGCCTGATCCTGAGAAATGTGCTGTCTCTACCTTCTTTCTCGCCACCAGTCCCATTTGTCATAAGTTTCAAAGCTAGAGTCTTCCTCAGGTAGCTGGAGAGTAATGCAGGTCTGGGAAAACAACATCATGGAGTCTTTGAGAGGCAGGGAGGGGTGGTCAGTATACAGATGCACAAGCTGAGGCCAGAGAAGCCAGTGCTTTGTCCACGGTCATACTCTCTGACATCCAGTGTCAGAAGCCACGGTTCCAAGGCCCAGGCCTGGATGTGTGGCCCTGAACTGCTGTCTCCAAATACAGACCCCTTCTAGCCAAGTATTGTTTGCACTGTCCTGTGAGATAGAACCCAGGGCTGTGCAAAGGAGCGTTCTTTAGATATGATCCAGGACATAAATATTTATGTACCTTACTGCTTTACATGAGTCACACTGCTTGACTTACTCTAAAGTCATATACTGGATGAAATTGCATTTTTAAAAATTACACTTTTAGTATTGCTTTACTCTCTACAGAGGAACTGCTATATCAGTAGAAATAATCGAAATTATTTCAAATAAGGTGGCAAAATTTCCCAAAAATTTCATTTAGAGTAAAAGATACATTTTTCTGATAATGGGTTATAAAAACTAATACTAGGGGCACAGAGTTGCTAACTTTTAGGAAATACATAACATTCTTCAGTATTTTGAGATGTACTTTTTAGAGGAACAGAATTCTGTCTACAAAGCTTTTAGGAATAGGATGAGGTAGGCCCAGTGAAGAGGGACTGTTTTGTCTTCTTCCTTCTCCTGTCTCTTCCAAACAGATTAACTCTGTTTTCATCTCTTGAATACTGAGATTTTCTCTAGGATTTCTGGTGGTATAGGTGGTGGTGGGTAATTGGAATCTTGAAAGTGATAAGATACAGGTGTTAAGCGAGATAATTACGGTGCAGAAGGCTTAGAGGCAGATTCCTTGCAAGGTTGCCTTTCAGCTGTGCAGTGTCCTGAGTAAGCATGCCTGTTCAGATTAAATGGTGCGAGTTCATATTCCAAGGCAGCCATCACCTGGGGGACCTTGGGTTTTCCCTTAGCCTTTCTTCGCCTCAGTTTCCTCCCCTGCAAAGTGAGGGTGACCATAGTACCTTCCGTGCAGAACTGTTTTATAAGGATCCGGTGAGTCGACACATGGAAAGCAACCGGATATTACTGTGTCTTAGTTGTCCTGACACAGTGCACGTAGGAAGCCCTCGACTACATAGTGCTTACTCAGCTCTTGAGGCCTCTCACTCCACTTGCCCAGCAGGGCCATTTGGCTTCTTCTGATGAGTAGTTAGGAGCAGTGCAAATGTTTCACCCCACTGGCTCAGTTGGACCGCTACTCCTGAGAACCATAGGGAGCTTCTCACCTGGTCCTTGTCATTTTGGACAATTGGAGGGCACAGGTCTAAGAAGACAAAAGGGCATGGTCTAGGTCCATAGTGGTGAGCAACAGCTTTTCAACGGAACCAGCTCACTGAGACAGTTCCCCTTACCAAGTATTTTTCTTTTTGTTTGAGGATTGGGATAGTCCAAACCTCTAAACCAGTCTGTGAAGGTACAGTGTAGACTGGGCTGAACTGTAGGCCCACTTTGTGGTGTGGTGGAGGGGAGTCAGGGGCTCCTGGCCATACAGTATTGCCTTCCGTCCTCTCCTGCCCTGTCTGACGGTGCAGTTGGCTGCTGTCTGATTCTCCACTGGCCCAGCTGCTGGACGTCAGGAGAAGGACTGGGCTCATTCTTTATAGCAGTGATCAATGGATCCTCTTTTGTGAAGTCTTTTAGAAGGGAGAATCTGGTCCAACTTGTTATGATGTAAATGCTTTGTCTTTGAAGTGTTGCCCCAAAAGGACCCTGAAAACAAATCAAACCAGTGTAGGCTTTCTTTTAAGGTCTAGAACAGTCTTTGATTTTACCAAAGCCATGCATTGACAGTTACTTAGTTCCCACATTGGAATTCACATCCTGGCAATAATTTTTTGAAGAAAAAAAATGTAAAGTTGCAGACTTTTTTTAAAAAAGCTATACTAGCTAGCTGCTTGGACCATAAATGGAAGTAACAGTTTCACAGGCTGTCCGAGGGACAGGATCCTGGGATGCTCCTGGTAACACAGTGGTCCCATAACCAAAGCAGAGATGACCCCTTTCAGGGATGAAAAGACTGCCCAGATACTCAGGAGTCCATGATTAGGGCAACAGACCTGTGGCTTCCATTCCTGGCCCATCTGCTGAGTTACTTTGTGGTCACTGCTGAGCAGTCATTGGTCTGGGCGGTCTGCAAGCCTGGGAAAGCCTGCAAGGTGCAGAGGTGGCTCATCCCTCCTCCTAGGAGATCCGGGCTGAGCTGCAGATCCCTCCTCCTAGGAGATCCGGGCTGAGCTGCAGAAGGCAGATCCACACGCTCATCTGTGACAGACCTCCTGCAGGGCCTGGGTTTGGGCTGAATTACATTCTCAGTAGACAGTCTGGGGATTCTAAGAGAGTCACACATAGAAGCCACTTGGGTGAGTGACAGAGAGGGCCTCACAGACCGGGATGCTGTGGCATCCGGGCCCCTGCCTCCTCCAACAAGGAGTGAGCACTGCAGCAGCAGAGCGTCCTTGTTCCACCACCAAGGTTGTGATGGAGACACAGAACCTGTCTGTCGCTTGTCTCCTGTCCCCCCGTTCACCTTGTGTTTTGAGACACTGTGGTGTGGAAGTTACTCTTATAGACTCTGGAGTCAGGTTCCCCTGCCCAAATCTCACTTCTGCCCTGCTCTTTAGGTTGCTGGCGAATTACTTAGTTTTTGTGTACCTCAGTTTCCTTATCTGTAAAGGAGAGTAACAGTGTGCACTTTGGATCAGTGTGAGAAATAACTGAGAAAACATACAAATCCATACAGTGACCAATTTAGTGCTCATGAGGTCCCAGCCACAGTTGTGTTACCAAGCAGGTTAAATTAAGTATAAATGTGGCACTTTGATTTGAACATAAGATATATGGTTAAATTTGCACACTTCTTGTTCTCTGAGGCACATCACCCACCTCCCTCCCTAGTAACACATTATTTCCCATCCCGCCTTTGCTAATAACTTTTACCACCTTCACTTTTACTTACTGTTCATTGCTTGCTCTTGGCCTCGAGGGATAGATATGATTTGCCTTCTTGGAGGCTTGGGCTCTGCCTCTGCCAAGAGTTGCGAAGAGGATAAAAAAAAGAGAGTGGGTGATACCACATAGTGGTTTCCTGTGCCCCACCCCTCCCAAAGCAAGAGCTGCCCCCCACTCTGAGAAGTGGGTGGCACCCTAAGGACTAGGGTGGATCAGAAGTTGTGTTGTCAGTGGCTTCCTCCAGCACATCTGGATAGGACACCAGTGGGGTTAATGAGACAGATGGGAACCGGCAGCTGGCTACATATTATCAAAAAAGACTGTCCTGGTGTTGGGCTAAAGTAACAAAGTGACAATCAGCTGTTAGACCTGTACCAGAGAGTGAATGATCATGATTGGAGCAGACAGGTTTGTTCTAGGGTTTTGATGGGGTCATGTCTTCAATGGTCTTTTGGAAAGAGGCCCTGCAATCTATTGTTAGAGAGAGAGGAAGTCATTGAAGTGAATGAGGGGTCCTCCAGCCAGGACTGTTTTCTGTAAAGAAGATTGAAGTCTTTTCTCATTTGCCCAGTTTTACAAAAGCTGTCACAAGTTTCTGTAGGAACCTGCTTCCTGAGAAAATACAGCCAGTTCTGAGTCCACAGATAGTGAGGTGCCCAAACCTCTGGGTCCCTGAGAGGGGACACTGGTTGACACTATGACTTTCTGGTTCACAGATGATGACCACTGGATCATCGACACGGATTATGACACATTTGCTCTGCAGTACTCCTGCCGCCTGCTCAATCTCGATGGCACCTGTGCAGACAGCTACTCCTTTGTGTTCTCCCGTGACCCTAACGGCCTGACCCCGGAAGCTCGGAAGCTGGTGCGCCAGCGGCAGGAGGAGCTGTGCCTGGACAGGCAGTACCGGAGGATCGAACACAATGGTGAGTGTCAGCACCAGGGGCTCTGGATGTGGGGACAGCTGCCAGTGAAGGTGTACAGCTGCACACCACACCACAGGAATCGGGGAGTCTGAGGAGCCGCCCTTCTGAGCCTGTGTCTTAGTCCTTGGCTACGTCTTTTCCTGGGCTGGTTCTGGGCAGCGTAGAGGAGTGACCAAAGGCCTTTTTCCAAACCCTGACAATGAAGTGAAATGCCCAGGGATACTCTTGTCTTTTTATCTTGGTACCTCAGGCTGGTTTACTCTTGGCTCCACTGTCCCCCCCAAAACCATCTTGACAGACTAACACTTAGAGGAATTAAGCGTCGTCTGTGAAGAACAGGGCAGCAAGTGTGGTCCCCGATGTAAAACCACAGACATGAACGTAGTGAGCTCAGTAGAGAATGGTAGTAACAAATGTTTATTCTCTTTGACACCAAATAATGGTTCAAATTATTTATTTTTGGGAGATCCCTTGGGACAATCATAGGATTTTTTATGTTATCTTTATTGTATCTTGATTTAAGAACCAGGAACATGGTGAAGAAAAGTGTATTATTTTGAACTGACACTCACTCATCCCTATGGTAAATTGGGTTTTGAAACCAAATGTGGTCACGTGCTGCAGTATACAAAAACAGGGGGAACAAAACTGAACATTCCCAGTTTTGAGGACACCTGACCGACCCTCTACATCAAACAAATATGAAGTCAGACCGCAAACAGGGATGAAGGTGTCACCCGGGTGGGTGGGCGCATGCTAGGAGAGGATGCTGTTCCATCCTGGGCATCCCTCTAAGGCCTTCACCTGCGTTACCTCAGTCAGGCCTCAGAAACACCGTGAGAAGTACACACTCTTACCATCTGCGTTCACAGATGAGAACGTGGAGGCTCAGAAAGATTAGAAATGTTGCCCAAGATCTCCGACAGGTAGCTGTGTTGAGTGCAAACCCAGATTTCTGTGACTCTGCAGTCCCTTCTCACAGCATGTGGTGATGTGGGGCAGAGTGAACACTGTACAGTCACCAGGCGCAGGCCGAGGTGGGGCTGACTCAGCCCTGCTGTCCTAACGTAGAAGGAGGAACTCCACCACTGCGACATGCAGTGAGGTGCACTTGGCTAAGGAAAGGAGCTCCACGCATGCAGCAGGTCCTGGGCCATCAGCCACTGCCCCCAGGATTTGAAAGGGTATCAGAAATAGCCTTAAGGGCGTTTTATGAATTATAGCTGCACCTAACTGAGGGTTTGCATTTGCTGTGAATTTGAATGAACAAATATATGAATAAAGCCAAACTCTAAGGCCACCATGGTATTCATTACTGGTACAATCCCTGGGTCCATCTTCTGGTCATTAATGGCTTTGCTTTTTGTATTTCAGGATACTGTCAAAGCACATCAGGAAGAAACTTTTTGTAGCACCATCAAGCATGTAAAGTTTCATTAGAAAAACTTCCACCTAACTCTCAGTCTTCATCTCTATTTATCTCAAGAATTTAGTGCCCCACCCCCGCTCCAGGTGAACATAAAACCCTCAGTACACATTAAATGTATGTGGGAAGCAGAGAATCTGTTCACATCAAAGGTGTGATTTCTGAAGTTTTCAGAGAGATCATTTGAGGGTTGGAATTCCAAACTTTGATTTATTAAAATATACTCACCAGCTTTCTATGATTTGAATTTTATTTGTATTCATTGGCTGCAGGTGGGAGTGTCCTTTTGTGTGTACCAGGAGGGCATTTTTCCCTCCTGAATGACCTCTGGCCAACTCTTAATGCCTCATCTCCATTATTAAAAACTCCAGTTTCTCCTAACTTTCCAAAAAATGGGTTTTCTCATTAACTCAGAAAACCTTAACTACCAGCTTAGCCAAGAGAGTGTGGCTAGGCCACACCAGCAAGCCCGAGGCTGTGAGCCCTGGGCCTTGAGATAGGCAGTGCAGTGGGCTCAGCCCTTGCTGAGTGTGAGTGGCTGTGATGCTTGGGTCAGGATGAGCCCTAGGAAATAGGCCCATCCTTCACCGGCTCTAGTGTGTGGGCAGCCTCGGGTTTCTCTGGGAGAGTTAGGATATGGAGCTCTAGAAGCCAGGTCTGTAGGAAAGAACACAGTCCCCCTACTTGGGGTGTCCAAGGAGGAGCTAGTTGGGACTGCAGGCAGGCCTGGTGCAGACAGCCTGTGTCCTCCACCATAAGCCAAACTTGCCAATTCTAGCATGTAACTACATATAAAGGTTCAGTTTCATGGGGTTCCCGGGATCCTGTTTCTCATTTTTAAAACAGCAGCAAACGGTACCAGCAAATCTTGAATTTAAGTCTAAATCCAGCTCACATGTTAGCTATGTGATGGGAGCTGGATATGTGACTTCTCTGAGCCCCACACTTCTCTCTTGAAAGGTAGAAAGTGAGTTCTGCCTGAGGAGATTCAGTGGGAGAGTTGTTAGTGGGTGTCGGAGCAGGAAGGCCCCACCCTGTGTGCCCTGTTCTCCACCAAAGGTGGAGGAGACGGTTGGGAAGCTGCCTTTTGTGCTCGTGGAAAAGCAGGCACAGAGCTTGGCTCTTCAGCCTCAGTATGACGATCCCAAAGACACACAAAATATCCACACAAGAGCTGTAATTTACCGTGTCAGTTAGGTAAGAGAGAAAAAAGCCTTCCTGACCCTTTGCCCCTGAACTTATGGTCATCATAAATCTTACTTCAGAAGCAAGCTGCTCCAGAAACTTCATGAATGATGCCAGCTACCAGGACTAGCTGATTTGTTGAATACCTACTATGTGACAGGAGCTATGTGTTTTAGTCATTGGCCCAAAATCCGAGGGCTGGCATTGTCTCTTTGCTCAGTCTTTGATTGTCTTCCTTCTTTCCGTTCTTTCCTAAGGCATTTCATAGACCATAGGTCTGGAAGCACCATCTGTGCCTGCCAACAGTGTTGCCTTTTCCTGCCCCTCCTCCACATCTCCTCACTCATGTGCCCTTTCCACTTGGCTGTTGCACTGGGATTTAAACTAACTTTCTCTAAATGAAATTCTTGGCTTCCTCAGCCCGACTTTTCTCCAGTCTTCCCCTCCAACCATGTCAGCATAAAAATCCAGGAACCGCCCTGGAATCCTCTCCCTCAGTGCTACAGCCTTTCTATCACCACCTTCCCAAAGCGTATCCCAGGATCTTTTCTCAGAGTCCTGTAGTAATGTCTTTCATTCCAAGAACTCTACTAGCTTTTTCTGTCAGTGGCTACCTACCTTGCTCCTCAGGGTAGATCCTTGCATAGTAGCCAGAATGTTTAAACTCACTCATCAGGCCTCATAGTCTGTAGCTGCAAATTTCCAGTGGTGCCATGTTCCCTGGCATGCCCTGATGGGCTCTAGCAGGGCACCCCTCCATCCCAGCATCAAGGAGAGTGTCCAGGCTCAGTCAGTACTTAGCTGTGCTTGAGTCACACCACACTTCATTCTTTCTCACAAGCAAGAAGCCCCTCTGCACCAACACTGTCTCTTCTGCTGTTCATGGATCCATACGGCTGACTGGATCTCCCTTGAAATTTACCTTTGAACACATGTCACCCCTCAGAGAGGTCTTCCTGTATCCTCCCCACCCCATCAAAATGGCCATTGCTCCCACCGCATCCTACCCTCCTTTGGGGCAGTGCTTTTTCACCCTGTTCAGTATGTCTCCCATCTCTGCAAGAACGTAAGTTCCCTTGAGTGCAGGACCATTGCTGTCTGCTTCATCATAAGCATTCCAACTCCAGCGACAGTGTCACAGCTGGTGCTTCGCAGTCCTTTGATGAATGTATCCATGATGGACAGTGAAAGAGTTGCTGGCCCAGACTGGACACTTTAACCAGGAAAAGCCGCAGCCGCTGCCTCCCCCGCCCCTATAGACTTGCCTGTAACCTATACCCCCATCCCTGTAACCCTGGCGCCAAAACGTGTGCCAATGAAATACCTGTGCATCTCTAATGGCCTTAGGGCACTGCCCTAACCTTAGGCTATTTATATTTCCCCACGCCACGTGTCCAAGAGAGAGATCGCTAGATTCCAGCGGCCAGTGCGCCAGTCTCCTCTCCCCGTGTTCCCGGAATAAAGGCCTCTTTTGTCTTATACTCCTCAACTTTTGGAAGCATCTTTTATCCTTTGAAGACAGTCCTATCAGACAGCTCATTAAACTTGGAGTCCTCCTGCCTTCTTTCTGCTTCCGTGACATCGCTTCTCCTAAGAATCCATGGCATTTTTAATAAATGGAAAAAAATCATCCTTAATTGTTCTTGGGAAATACCTCAAACTCAAAGCATGAGTAGTCATGACCCTTTAAAGGAGAAATCTGTGCCAGGCATGGTGGTGCACACTTGTAATCCCAGCACTTCAGGAGGACTGCCTTGAGTTCAAGCCCAACCCGAATAGTGAGATCCTGTATCCAAAAAAATAAAAATAATCGCAAAATCTGAGTCTGGAATCTGTTTCAAGACTCAATTTAAAAACCATAAGATTTTATATATAGGAGATGTGACTGCTAAGCAGTTATAAATAACAGTTTATTAACTTAAAACATATTACAAATACTTAAAAGTTCATATCTAAAAGGAATCCCTAGTAGATCCTTTTATAAAAAAATATTTTTGTACTGAATAATCATCTCTTAATTTACTGTGCCATATATGTGTATTTGCATAGGTCAGATTTTCCTAAAGATGTGCTGGTGGATGGTTCTGGAAATGAATTCCTTTTAAATATACACTGGGGCCCACCAGAGAGAAACTACCTAGAAAAAAACCTTAACTAGCTGGAGATAACAGACAGATCATTTCTTCTGACAGACGCGTCTGTAGAGATGGCTCCCTTTTCGGGGAGCGAGAAGCAACAGAAGATTTTCCTCCATTCGTTCCTGAAGAGTGACATGTTGTAGAGGATGGGGTTTAGGGCTGAGTTGGCGAATGTGAAGGCCATCACCCAGAAGAAGAGGGACGGCCAGATGACCAGGCCTTGCCTGAAGTTCTGGATCAAGATGAGCAGGATGGTGATGATGATAGGGCTCCACATGATGAAGAAGGAGACCATGAGCAGGAAGAGGGTGCGGAAGAGCCGGAAGTCCTGCTGCGACACGCGGATCTGGTGGGTCTCCGAGTACGCCAGGCTCATGGTGAGCCTCTTCCGTGACGCCTTCGTGATCTGCAGGGAATGCAAGCAAAACAAGGCCACAGATTACTGCCTGCAGCGGGGAGCTTTGTGCTGTGTGCCTGGGAGTGGGAATCTGCCACCTTACACATGGAGGGGGCCTACTTTTGGAACTTTATGTGGAAGGAGCCGCCTCCTCAGAGCCTGGTGGACGGTCCACACTTGGAATGTGCTGGAAAAAGAGGTGTCATGGGCAGAGAAATGACCTCATTGTAAGGAGAATGAGGAAGGTGAAAAGCCTGAACTGGATGGTCTAGAGGAGGGTCGTGTGCTCAAAAGCACTTCTTCCTTGTTACTGTTTTTTAAAAAGGCAAGTGATTGTAAAAAGCAATATGTATATACTCCATGTACAAACTCAAATGGTATGACCCCAAGGAGAGGCGGGTCAAATGAAAAATATATAGTTTCTTCTCTAGCCTTCTGTATCCCCATTTCTGTTCCCTAGAGGTGACCAAAGTGAATGGTTTCCTGGGAGACCCTCTAAAAACATGCTACCTCCACACATACAGGAGAAATTGTGACTGTGGGACTGTGGGCCTCTCTACTTGTGCTCTGGATCCAAATGGGACCATATGCACGCTACCTCCTTTTCACACAGCAGTCTACTATGGTGCGCATGGTTTGCTGGCACAGAGCAGACACCTTGTTCATACGACCTTGTTAGTGTTGGCAGTTTCTTCATACTGTGGCTATGCTGCAGCTCGTCCAGGCTCCCATTGATGGGTACTGTATTTGCTTACCCCTGTCCATTTGCTTCGCTGAAGTGGTTGTACCCATGCCCGTCCCCTCCCTCTTTTACAGGTTGCTGAGAGGGGGAGAGGTCAAGGGGGATGGCAGAGTGATATGACAAGGTCAGGCAGAAGGGAAGCCTCAGACCCCCATGACATGGGCAATCTTGTCCTTGAGAGAAAGCAGGGACGTAGATATTATAGTCTGCCTGTCTCCTCCATCTCTTCCCAGCCCTGGCACAAAAGTGTTTCTACTTCAGGCAGGGGAAACTTGAAGTGACTTGAGACTGATGTTTTAAAATAAACAAGCACAATCAAAAAGTGACTGGAATGTTCTGGAGTCAGAAATAAGTGTTATTGAATGTGTCCCTTCTCAGCAAGAAAGACAATCTGGTTAGAGCAATTCTGGTGGTATTTGTTGAAAAATCCCAACCATTTGGTGTGCCCCTGTTGAAAGGTGGTGATTGTGGAAGAAACATCCCCATGCATATCTTTGCACACCCAGCAGAGTGTGTCCACCAAATAACTTCCTCCCAGTGGGACTGCTGCAGTTGCTAACATTTTGCATTAATGATCATTTAGAAGAGGTATTACCAGAAATATTGACAATCTTAGTCACATGGATTTAGGAGGGAGTTCTGGACTCTTCTTTCAGGGTCTCCTGTAGGTATCACTCCCTTGTTCTCCTGTTCAACCTGGTCAGATAGAAAAATCTTGCTCTGTGTCAGAGAGGGTTTTAGTTGGCAACGGGCAGCTTTGGACACAGAAGTGACCCATTCACTGATGTAGGCTGACCAGATTAAAATAGAACCTTGTGTGTACTCTCCTCCCACTCACACCTCACATCAAAACAGCGTATGTGAGCCATAGAACAGCTTCACCACATCTTAGAACCCGAACGCTACAGCAAGGTGGGGGCCTGTGCTGTGTTACTATGCCCGCAGGCCACTGGCACAACCTTATTTTGAGGTAGATTGTATACCAGCAGAGTAGCACAAACCTATAATCCCTGCACCAGTCTGAGAGGCTAAGCCAGAAGGATCCCAGTTCCAACCCCTACCTCGGCACCTTGGTGAGTGAAAGAGTTTTGACCCAGACAGGACACTGTAGCCGCTAAAGCCCAGGAGCTTCTATCTCCCCCACCCTTAGGAATCTACCTCTGGCGCCAAAAGAATACCAATGGGCTACTTGTGCATCCCTAATGCCCCTCAGGCACCACCCCTACCTAAGCTACATGTATGCCCCCACTCCACGTGCTCCACAGAGAGATCGCCGACTCCAGGGTGGGGTGGGGGGAGATGCTGCGCCCCAGGGGATCGGGGTGTCTGTCCCCGCATTCTCAAAATAAAGGTAATTTATATTTCATACTTCTTATCTTTTCAGCTGCCGCCGGTCCCCCACAGTTGTGTCAGTGAGTTAATGAAATTGTGCCATGAAAGGAAACAAAATGAAATAAAAATAAGGATTATCTCAGTGTAAAAGCCCTAAGTTCCAACTCCAGTATACTACACAAAAGACTCTGACTGCAGATTGGGGCTGGCCTGAGATTCTGCATCTCTAACAAGCTCGGATACTATATCCCACTGCTTCTGCTGCTGCAGTGACTAGTTTACCCCTTTACTGAACCAGTCAGGAAATAGCCCTCTAAGAGACTGCTAGTTGAGGCAAAACACTTTGAGAACAGGAGCCTTGCAAATGTGCAGTGTTCCCTGAGCAAAAAGCCCCAGGAGACCGTGGCTGTGAGAGAGAAGGAGGGCTGCCATTTACGTGTGACTCCGCAGCGTAGGGTGACGAGTGGCTGAGTCTGTGACCCCCAGGGCGGCTAGAAAGGGTCCAGTGCTCAGGCTCTGGAAGTCCTGGGAGATACTGGTGTCCTGCTAGATGCAGCATTCTAATCCTCTGGGCACAGCATGGTGGCCTCCATCATTTTCAGTGTTGCCAAGAGGTGGGTGGTGTGGGTTGCTGATGGTGGGTGGAACCTGGCTGGGTACAGATGCTGTATCTAGGAGCCTGGCATGCCTCTGTGACCTCTGTCCTAGGGAAAAGCAAATTTGAAACATTTGGACCATGCTACTAGTGAGTGGTAACTACTATTTGCTGAATACTTGTGTCCTGCCTGCTCTTCCTGCAGGAAGAGTCTGTTGGCCACACAGAGATGCTTCATCATCTGGGGATTGGTCACATTGTTCTCTCTGGGCTGGCGCCAGGGCCCATTCTCCTAGGAGTTCAGAATCTCAAGAGGAAAATTAACTGACAGTTAATTAGTATCATTCACAATATGGACAAGTTAACTCCAAGATCAGAATGACTTAAAATGCTCTTAGAACTCATCTAATTCTTTAATTAAAGATAGCTATTTATTGTTGTACTCTAAGAAAGTAGCTTCATCATTTTGTGTATTATAGCAAACCTGTACCGCGGCTTACTAAATGTTTTCTTTTCTTAACTGATATGTTAAGTGACCCAATTGATATGTTGAGCAATACTCTCCCCTGTAAAAAATTGCAAAAATTTCACTTAATTGAGATGTTAATCACGGAGCGGCCCTCTACAAACAAGAAGAGTGGTGCTAAAACAAGCTAACAAGGGCTGTTAATCACGGGTAGGCGCCTCTAGTCTTCGCTAAAGAACTAAAAAAGACAAAAAGGCCCACTAATTTACACATTGTTTAAAGTAGTGTGTTTATATGCAGGGAGATTTGCCCATGAGTTTAACCTTTTTACCTAACCTTAGTTACTCTTCCCACAAGATAGATACTCGCCGTTTTCCTGTTCTATAGCGCGCCTTATTGCCTCCCCCCACCCACCTATCTGGGCCATAAAGAATTTGGGTTTCTGGTGACCTCTCCCCGACCTGGTGATGATCTGTCATAAACTGAGCCTGCCCCAATTTTAAGAACTGTTTAGCTTCAAAGAAATTACCGGGAAATACTGTGGCCCAAACCCCGATCGGTGCTTTCCTTTTGTTCTGTATGTATCAATGGGTTAGATATCAGATCTTTGTAAAACTTAAGTTCCAGCATCTCATAACTCGTGACCCCTTCGCACTCACTGGCGAAGACAAGCTGTCCTGAGATAATTAACTCTCCACTTTCTTCTCCAAATATTGCTGCAGACGTGCCACTCTGAGATAATGTCAGTCTGCAGGATGGGAGTAATTTGAGCAACACCAAGAACTCCCGGGACGGTCAGAGCTAAGTAGACAGCAATACAGTTTCCAGATGCGGGTCAACAGGTTTAATGGCCTTACAGGTTTCCTCCCCACTTTCCCTTACTTTTAAAAACCCCTTTCCCCAGTCTTGGGCGCGCAGTCTTTGGGTTGATCCAGGAGAGACTGTGCCGCCAGGACTGGCTCAATAAAGCCTTTGCCACTTAAGTTTTAGACTCTTGTTTCCGTGGACTTTATACCGGGCCCACGTTATAACATTTATCCCATGATTACACACATGTTTGCTCTCTTGTATGAGTGTTTAGGTTTGCCTGTTGTTGATGGAAACTAGGACAGCAGGTCCTGATTATGAGCGACAATTCCAGTGACTCCCTCAGAATCCAAAACAATTACTGTGACTTTGATTATGTGGAGACTCATTTCCTGACACTGTAAAAGGCTGGCTAGGGTATTTCCTTCTCTCTTCAACTGGCTCTAAGCATTGCAAATAAGGCTAGCAGAGGTGCTAATATGCAAAATCTATAGCCATCAGACAGTCCTGTTTCCTCGCGTAGAGTTCTGTACAATACAGATATGTACAGGGTTGAGCACACAAGATTTTAGAGTCAATAGCTCCAGGAATGTCAACTGGCTGGAGCCTCAAGATAGGAGGCCATGACTCCACTGGGCACAAGAGTTTGCATATCAAAAACCAAAGCAACAGCCCCCAAGCAGTTCCTCTGCTACCTTAATTGGATTATGTAAACTGATTCTTCTGCATATCTTTACCTCTGTAATTTACAGAGATGCCATTCTTCACCTGGTCAGCCAGCTCAAGTTACTCACATAATTCCTGCCATCCTCACTATCACTCATCCCTGAGCCACCACCCTTCTTCACAAGATAATAATTTCTGGGAGAGGCCTAGGATCTCGGCCTTTGTCTGCCTGTCCTCATGAGGATTGGATTCAGGACCCCTTGGCTGCCCTTAACTTGGAACATGTCTTGGTGTCTTTACTCTTGCTGTTGTTTACATTGGTGGTGGTAGATTGGAATTAACTTGCTGGGATTCTAATAACGTCTCAATGGGGTTATAAATATAACCTTCTGGATTGTGAG